AACCTCTCGATTTTGGGTGCTCTTGAGTATAAGGATCATCAGCTGCTGGACGAAGGGACCGAATTGGCCCGAACCAGGATAAACCATTGCATATCCCCTGTGTGATTCTTGTGTTCCTGAGTCCACCCGAGCCACCAGAGACCCATACTCTGACACCGACTCGAACAACATGCTTGCCGCGGTTTCGACCCCGCGACAGCCGGTGCGCAAGATAGGGGACAGTGTCAAGTACAATTCTGGCTCTACGGTGCCTGGAGTCACCTGCCTCGTCGCCGGAGCGAGCGGCACAACCCCAGGCGGCGTCCGCTTCCCGGGCGAGTCCCCCATCACGACCGGGGCGTTCCCCGACACAGATGCCCGGCGCGCAGGAAGGCCCGCCTAGCGAAAGGATCGACGCGCTAAACAGCTAAGTCACAACGTCAGCTTCGATGAGTTGTGGCTGTACAACAGCACCGCCTTCCACAACCTCACCTTCTTCTTCGGCTGCCACCTAGGCGATTCCATGACGCTTGTATTCGAAGCATACAAAATCAAATGCGTGGATTTCAAGAGTCGGCCAGATGCTGGCCCAGGAGACTCCTTCGTGGTCATGACTGATGAGCATGACAGGTATCTGGAGCAAGAATTGGCAAGGACTGTAGCATGATTGTCACCGTGCCAGCGAGAGGCGATGTTCTGATAGCAGCAAGTAACCCGAAAAACTTCACAAGCGGTGGATACGGAGACGTGCTTAAGCGTGGGTTCGAGTTGGAATGGAACCGTATCACAGAGGATGGGTGTCACCTGTGCGAGGAGTCGAACGGGCAATGCGCCTATAGCCAGAACAGGGTATTCCGGGGCTGCTTGTGCCACGGAGGGAAGGCGGGCAGCCCGGACTGCATACAGATCGCATCAAGTAAGCCCTTAAACCTACTGAAAGATTTATTTCCGTCTAAAAACAAATTCTGCCCCGTCTGCACAGCCAACCATTTCACTCGGCGATTCCAGTATTCCACGCCTGTGTGTCTTTCAATTGAGGCTTCGCTTCAAACTAAAATGAGATTCATGATTTGGTTTCCTATTCACAAACAAAAAACGAAGAACTCAAAGCTCTTAAATTTTCAGAAGAATCGAAGACAATGAGCACGTTGGTTTTGCATAGGCCACCATGAATTGACTAAAATTAGGCTCTCATCACCAGCACATTACGAATCCAGTACTTAGTCAAGCTTTCATCATTTCGCCAATCAAGTGACCTGGCACTGAGAACATCTGATCAACTGCCAATCAAGTAGACTCTCACGACTGCCAGGAACCTCAATTATGAAGGAAATTATTCTCAATGACCATACAAACGTTTTCAAGGTATAATGAAGCAAAACTTGTCGGCCCACCTGTCTCACTAAGTACTCCCTCTATCTAAAAAATAAAATAAAAATCTCGCTTCCTCATATGAGTCAAACAATTCCAATTTTAACAAAAAATATATAAAATATTATTTATGATACGTAATAAGTATCACTAAATTAATCATGAAATATATAAACCTATTTGAAGATACAATTCCTCATATTTGTGCTTTGTGTTTCTGTTTGACGTAATCTTGCTCAAATCTAACATTGTCTTTTGTTCGTTGGCATACAGGATCAAAAGGGAAAACAACAATTATTGCTGGTAAGCACTACGCAGCCTATAGCCAGTACCCATCTTCATGCATTTAGTCTAAAAAGAGCAGAAGAAAAGCATATAATGAATTATTGGCATGTCATGTTTGAAAATCCACAATTCTCAAAAAATGACAACAATGTAGATAAATTTCATCCTCCCTCTGGGCAATAATCTGTTGAGTTTCTTCACTGACTAGTGGTGCATTTTTCTTTGCAAATTGAATTTTTAGAATGCTTTGTAGTTAAATTCGTTTGTGATGTTTTTTGTGATGCAGGTATTGTTGCAGGCATGTTATTCATGTGTCTAGTAATTCTCTTATTCTTCTCGGTCACCGAATCTATTATCAACAGCAACTCGACCACCACCATAGATGAGCTCGGGGCGGCTTGGGATCTACCAGGCCTACCCACTTCTCTTCCAATGTTGGAGACTTCAAGTGGGGCTACAGGGATGAAACATTTTGGAAGGAGGGGTGGATCTAGCCGATGGCAGGCCGAAGAGGCGCTAGTGAGGATGGATCTGCCACTTTCTCTTCCAACACCGACAAGCGCGTAGGAGACCGCTAACCTCGTCGCCTCATCCAGCGTGCAGCTGAAGACAACCACTTTGAACCAATGGAGTTTGAAGACAAGGGCAAAATAAAAGTCGTTTCCCCCACGTTTATCTCCACAAGTACAAGAAATTAATAAAATAATCAGCGGGATGCATTTTCAAAAAAAAAAATACACGCTTTCATAATGGTACTAGACAATTTTTTGAGTTGACGGTGCCCATCAGCAAATACCATGTTTCTCCGATGTCCCTCAACAAAATTTTCTTTTTTTACTAAAGATGGACATGAAAAAAACAGCTTGTCCCAGCTCCTTTCTCGCTCTCATGAGCCCCATCATGACCATGGTCAGATTTGCTCTCACGGACACAGACATGGGTTGCCGATGTGCACGGGCGTGGCCTCCGGGGCACGCGAACGTCATGAGCTTTCGGGGTGGGGGCACAGGGCTTAGGGCCTGGAGCATAGGAGCATCGGGAGAGGCGTGGGGAAGAAAGAGAGGTTGTGTGGAAGAAAGACTAGAAAAAAATAAATGAGGAGAAGAAAAGATAAGGGCATTATGATCATTTCATTCTTTACGAGGAGTTGTTTTGCCAAATATTTTATCAAAACAGCTTCAACTTTATTAGTGGAGCTATCTTGCAACAGAACAAAAAAAACTACTCCGCCTGTGAAGTACTCCATATGTCCTATAATACAGTGCATTCAAGGAATTTAAAGACAAATTAAGAGATAACGTAAAAGACGCGTGTACCCTCATTTTATTTTCTAATCAGACACTATCATCAACGTGATTAATAATGATTGATCGATAAATGGAAAGTATTTAATGCAAAACTAGATTTTGTTCTCTAGAATACCTTATATTTGAGGATAAATTTTGACGCATATACCCTCATTTTATTTCCTAATCAGACACTATCATCAACGTGATTAATGGTGATTAAATGGAAAGTATTTAATGCAAAACTAGGTTTTATTCTCTAGAATACCTTATATTTGATGATAAATTTTGAATGTTAAAATGCACTATATTACAGGACGAAGGGAGTAGAGCTGTGCTAAATGGGCCTTGCCTTGACACTCCCTCTGGGATCATCAATTGGATCTAGGGAAAATGGCCCAATTCGGGATTGGCCGTACTTTGGTCCATCAAGTCTAACCCGGTTGGGCCATAAAAAACCAACCTGTCGTATACTATGGGCAGGCTTATGCCAAAATTTAAAGCCTAAACCAGGTATGAACTAAATTTGGCTCAGATTGTTACATGTATGTAAATTTAGTTGGGTTACGTTGCCTACTCCTGGCGTATTTGGTTTAGTGCCCAAGCTAGCAATCAAATTTAGGGCTCATTTGAATACTAAATCTTGGTTCCTAGTTACGGCTAAAAATTAGCTAAAATTTATTTGGTTGGCTAGCTACTTGGCTAATAGTTAAAGATTTGTTAAAAAATTAGCTCACCTATTAACTTTCCTGTTGAGACATTTGAGCTAATTTTATTTTCTAGCTAGCTAGCAATTAGCCTAAATAGGCTCTTAATTTGAAGCCCATGCATCCGGGTGAGGTTGTTCATGTGCGGCGGTTACGAATCAAGAAGACCACTACATCTTTTCTGGTTTCTCAATTCGACTCAGTCTTGCTATATAGTGTGTGCCAGTAAGGCAGAAGGCACCTTTACCGTTTGGACTCATGCTTTTTACTTTGCCATGGTTTTTAATGTGAAAAAGAGTCTTGACTCGTGACCTCTCAGGCGGAACAGTTTTTTCTTACAAATTTATATCACGAAATTAGGTTCTGGATAATAACCATCACTAACAACAGAGATTAGAGCCAGTGTTAACCAGCATATTACGATTTGTTCAGATGGAAGCAACTGTGTGACGTTAAGAGTCTATTTGAGAGAACCCATAGAGCAATTTACAATTATATGACGTTAAGAGTCTATTTGGCAGAACCCTTGGAGCAGTTTACAGCTGAATTGATCTGACCAACACCAAATTGGGTTAGGCCGAGAAAAATGATTAGATCAAAATGGTTGGTCCAAAATTCGACCCAATGCACTGGTGGGTTGGGTCGGGCAACTTCTTAGAGTTTTTCTACTTTGGGTTGAGCCATGTGTCGAAAATAATGGCTTGAATCTGACCCGACACACTAGTTGATTAGATTTTTTTGAACAGGAGGTGTGAAAATGTTTTTTCGAAATCAATAAAAAAAGTTGTAAGCTGGAAAATTAATTGCTCCTGATTCATGTTTTTCCTCCACGGAATTTATAAAAAAAACTACTGACACACTTTCGGACAGAGAATTGTTTCTCTCCGAAAGCCACTTTCCCACGTAGGATCAAAAGCAAAATGAGCTCATAGGAAACCCAATTTGCAGCGCCGGTTCATCAATTAACAAAATGTGATTCTTGAAAAGGAATAGAAAAAACATCGTGAGCGAAGACTTTCATTATATACTGCTATATCCCTTTGATTGGCATACGGTCCGAATGGAAGTCAACTAAAATCATACTCCGTACCAAGCAGTAGTAGGTTAAGATCGTATCTTGCCTGACTGGACCAACAAGCCTAGGGAGGACGTAGCAGGCAGCCCACGATCAGTGATCAAACGGCTTGGCACGGACCGGGAAGACCGCTAAGTCCACGGTCAAGTCTCAATCCGTGTTATCTCCTGCCCCACCTCCGGGCCCACCAGCAACCAACCTTCGCCGAAACCCGGTCAAGTCCATGGCACCTATAAACGGCGGCGGCCGCAAGTCACAAGCAACTGCGTGCCCAGTTGGAGCTAACAAAACAGCCAGATGAGCGCGAACCCACCTCGTCTTCTCGCCACCATGGCTGCTCACCTACCAGTACCACGTCTCCCCGTCCTCCTCTTCGTCTTCCTCGCCGTCCATGTCCATGTCCCTGCCACCCATGCCATCCCTCCGTCGCTCCCGACCACCTATGACGGTTCGATTTGCTCGGAGTCGTTCATGTGCGGCGGCGTCAATATCAGCTATCCCTTCTACCTCGCCGACGCGACCAGAGAGATCGCCGACTACGGATACAACTACTCCTGCGGCTACACCGACCTGTTAATTTCCTGCCAAGGCGAGGCGCCGACCGGGATCCCGGTCATCAATCTCGGCGGCGAGAACTACGCCGTCCAGAAGATCTTCTACCACAATCGCACCATCATTCTGGCGGACAGCGACGTCGGCGGCAGCTGCCCTGCAGTCAGCCACAACGTCAGCTTCGATGAGTTGTGGCTGTACAACAGCAGCGCCTTCCACAACCTCACCTTCTTCTTCGGCTGCCACCTAGGCGATTCCATGACGCTTGAATTTGACGCATACAAAATCAAATGCGCGGATTTCAAGAGTCCGACACATGCTGGCCCAGGAGACTCCTTCGTGGTCATGACTGATGAGCATGACAGGTATCTGGAGCAAGAATTGGCGATGAACTGCAACATGATTGTCACCGTGCCAGTGAACCACGATGTTCTGATGGCAGCAAGTAACCAGCAAGACTTCAGAAGCGGCGGGTATGCAGACGTGCTCAAGAGTGGGTTCGAGTTGGAATGGGAACGTGTCGCAGCGGATGGGTGTCCCTTGTGCGAGGAGTCGAACGGGCGATGCACCTATAGCCAGCACAGGGAATTCCTGGGCTGCTTGTGCCACGGAGGGAAGGTGGGCAGCCCGGACTGCGAACACATCGTCCCTGCGACTGCGAGCACCGCAACTGCATCACGTAAGTCCTCCTGAACCAACCCTTTGTTTTTTGCAATCACCAGATCACGCACCGGTTCCGTCAGTAGCTTGGAACCTCGTAGCTATCCTCGCAACGTCTCCCGTGTGTGCGCGTCCCGCTGCTCCTTCTTGCCTCGTGCTAATGGTGAATGCTTTGACTTTGATCTAGTCTACACTTCGTTGGGGTTTGCCTGGGAAATTAATGCTTGGGTAGGTACAGAGCTGGAAATTCTGGCTCCTGCTTGCATCATTCGACAAGGATGTTTACAGCCTCGCGACCCTCGTTCTGCTTTTTGCACCAAATCCGTCCTTTTTCTCGTGAGCGAGATTCATCAGGCGGCCTGCCGTGTTCCACGAGCAGAGGCGGTATTGCCCCTGTTTCCGTGTGGAACAAGGACCACGATGCTAAACGGCAGACGCAGCCCACAGGCGGACAGCCGGACAGGCCTGGTTTGCGTTGCCAAATGGAGAGGTTTGGTAGCGCTGGCTGGCTCTAGCTGTCTAGCAGGCGGGCAAATGGTCCCGTTCGGCTTATCCCATATCTGGCTTGTTCAGCTTTTTTTTTCAGCTAGAACAGTGTTTTTCTCTCACCACAATTCAACCAGAACAGTGTTTTTCAGCCGGTTTCAGCTAAAATTCTGCCAGCCAGAACAGTGTTTGGTAGCCCTGGCTGGCTCTAGCCGTCTAGCAGGCGGGCAAACATTGTTTGGTTTTCGTTGCTGTTGGATCTTTGTTCCGTACGTATAAGCCATGTTTTAGTCCATCCGAAGACGTGTTTCTAGGGTTGGAGTTGTTAGTGAGGCCCCGTTTAGATCCAAAATTTTTTGGATTTTGGCTCACTGTATCTTTTCGTTTGTATTTGGTAATTAATGTCTAATTATAGACTAATTAGATTTAAAAGTTTCGTCTCGCGATTTCTCACCCAACTGTGCAATTAGTTTTTTTTTTCGTCTACATTTAGTACTCTATGCATGTGCCGCAAGATTCGATGTAACAGGTACTGCGCAAAATTTTTTAAATCTAAACAGGCCCTGAGTGTATGCTTTCTATTCGCTTTGATTTCAGTGGTTCACAATAGAGGACTGACAACACGAGGCAATATTCCCAGTTTACCTGCCGAGTAGATGAGTGGGTTCAGACTCCACCACCTAGTTACGCAAAGTAGAGTCGAGGTTTGATGTCAAGTTGTCCAAGTTGTAAGAAGTTTTTGTTTTTGCTTTATTTGTACAGTTCCATTTTCTTTTCTATTGCCATCCTTTCGGAAAAAAAAACAAAAGAGGAGTATGTCCCTGCTCGTTGGTACTCCTATGGTTATGAAGTGCTGAGCGCTGACCACTTATAGAATATTATAAAGCTAAATTTTCTTCTACGGTAGTAGAAAGATTAGTGGAAACCATCATTAATTCCTCTAAGAAAAGGATAGATTATTAAGCGGAGAGCCAAGACCATGCCCACGCGCCTTTGCTTCCAGTGACGGATGTAGAATGAAAGTTCAGAAGTGTCTGAACTCGTCATTTTTAACCTTTAGCCTCTTCTCCTCAAAATAGCCATGGCAAAATTCTTAAAGGGTTCCAGGGGGTTCTATGGAATTAGCGACAGTAGGAGGGCATGAGCCCCACCCACCCACCGCTGGATCCATCCCTGTTTGCTTCCATGACATTGTTGTTGTGCAAGTTCTGTATTGGAGCGACAGCAAACCGGTAGTGAGAGCGGAGACTGTCGTATGGAATCCTCTAATCGCTAGGAGTGTTTTTTTTCATGCAAAGACATGGTTCTTGATCTTAGTCGTGATTCGTGACATCATGCTTTCTGTTTACTCCCATTTTATGGTTTCCAACCTTAGTAGTCGTGTTACTGGAACAATATTTTTCTCTCACAATATTTCAGCATAAGCTAAATTTCAGCATAAGCGAACAGGGTGAAGGGACGTGGAATAAGAAATGCGGTACTACATCATGTTTTTTCACATAATAGGAACATGAATAGTTCCCCCGGAACGAGCAACTTCCCCCGATTGCCAAGTTCCCATCACTTTTCTCAAAAAAGTTCCCATCACTGCATCACAGAGGGGATCAGAGGACTGGGTCCTGACTAGGATCCTGAGTACCACTGCATTTATGTAGTTGCTGACCATGTACGAGTGTTCAACGCTAAACGCAAATCTTTTCTTCTAGATACCCCTTGTTGCCTTATAAACAGAGAGAGCCGAGGCCGGCGGCCACCGAACTAACGGGGAGGGAGAAAGGAAAAAAAAAAACTCGACTTATTCAGCCATGGCCCTCTGCTCGCTTCGGCACCGGCTGCCGCTGCCGCTTCTCCTTGCCGTCTTATTTGCCGCTTCCCGTGGCGATCCTTCCGACGACGATTACAAGTACAACACCTCCATATGCAAGGTGCAGCCATACACATGCGGCGATGTGACCCGTTCTATCTTTCCGATGAGACGGCAGATGTCCTGGGCAACAACTCCTCCTGCGGGTACCCTGGGCTGGACATCGACTGTGTGGACGACAAGTATCCCATCCTGCAACTCGGCGGCGGCCCAGACTACTCGTACAACGTGACGGGCATCGACTACACCAACTCCACCATCTCCCTCGCCGATCCCGATGTCCTCGACGGCGATGAGAGCTGCCCGGTCGACCACAATGTCACCGTGCCGCCCGCCGTGTGGCTCAACTTATTGCCAGAGTCTGGTTACCTCCTCTTCTTCGCCAACTGCTCCATCTCCACTATCCCTGGGCAGCCTTACATCAACCCGATCACATGTCCAAGTTCTTTGGATGGTTATTATTCTTTTGTGATTCCTTCGGATTCGGAGGTGCCCCAACAAACTTTGTCACGGGAGTGCAAGCAAGTTATCCAAGTGCCGGTGCTTCAGAACGCCTCCCTGACGATCGATTCGCAATGGAGCACCAACGGGTACCGCAACGCTCTTAAACAGGGTTTTCAGTTGGGATGGAACTCGAGTAGGAAGTCCGACCTGTGCACCAACTGCGAGGGATCCAATGGACGTGGTGCCTACAACAGATATGGGGAATTCGTGGCTTGCTTGTGTACCAACGGCCAAGTGAGCAACCATGAATGCACCAAAGGTAAGCCCTTTCTGTCTTGTAGTACTACCTTTTCTCCTTCCTTTTTTGGTTGAAACCAAGCCTTTTCTCCTTCTTTGGTGTCAAATTGCTAAGGGGATCCATTAGCTTGCAGCTTCATCAACTGTAAGTAGGCAGGTAGCTGCTAATTGTAGCTTCAGTAAAAAAAAAAAAAGTTTTCTTATAAAATTTTACCTTGGAATCAAATCTTTGCTTGGCCTGAACAAAGAACTTCGATTGCTTTTTGAAAATAAAAGGTGTCGAAATGGATCTAAATTAAAGGTTGAAAAATCTGTAAAAATCAATCAACCATGTAGCAATTTTAAACCTGTCCTTAACAGGACCACCAGCAGAAGCCTGCGACCAGCTTGCCATATTTTGGGCCATCTTCATCTTCTTCCCCTTGGGCCTTCAATGTCAGTTTCCTTCCAACCCAAAAATCTGCAGCCGCCGCTCCGTCGTGCTTACCACTCAGTAATGTTTTACATGAGTTAGGTTTAAGTTCGAAGTCGCATCATCAACTACCTGATTACAGTAAGCCGGAAGCTGTATGTGGGATGGAATGGAATAATGGCATAATTGATTCGCTTCCAAAATTTGTTATACCACTGATCAATTCATAATTTTAGCTAGTATTTGATTTGCTACCACAACTTGCTAAAGTCTTGCATTTGTCTTGCCAAATCTATAGCAATGATTTTGCCTAACTTTTGGCTTATCAAATCTTTAGCATGACAAATTTTACATGTTAACCAAGTAGACTGAAAGTAATAGCCGAACACGACCAGGACCAGCCACTCTGACCGATTCTTCCCCCAATCTAAACGCGATGTGTCGTTGTGGACGGCTCTGTTCTCCTGAACGTCCACAACTTGGACCGCGCATGCTCTTATATTTCTCCACGGCTGCCGCCGGCGGGAATGAGACAGAACTTTTACAGCCCATCGCCGGCACATGCCTGCTGCTGCTGGAAGCCACACCGCCAGTGATAGGAGGAAGCGGCTCAATTTTCTGAAGCTGTCTTTCACGGCCATAGACTCGATCTTCAGAAACCACTGACCGAAGCATTTCTGCCGTAGCATACATACGGCATCGTTGAACACGCGCAGGAGAATAGGGCAACCATTCCAAAACGAAAATTGGAGAGGGGAAAAAACAGCTTCCTTCTAGAAACCACCTGCACAAGGATAATACCAGTATTTTTCGGGCCTATTTGTTTGAACTTATCAGGTAGAATATACAGTATTTTTCTCTCACAATAAAACAACTTCAGCCGGCTTATCAAACGGCTTTAATATCAGCCGAACAGTGACTAGCCAATTTGAAAAAGTAACTAGCCGAACAGTAATAAAAAAATAGACAACCAATAGCTCTTCCTTTTGACGCCAATTTGGAAAAGTGACTAGCCACGCCCCACTCTTTCTTTAGTTTGTCTGGTTTGTACTTGTACTTGTGTTTTACTGCGTTTCATTAATTTAATCAGTAGGGGCTCCTTGCCCCTCCTGTTTTTTTCAAAAAAAAAAAAACTCTGGAGTCGCCATGGGTCAGGTAGCGCAGCGACTCTGGCAGTGTGGCGCGGTAGGCTGGCAACGTCGCGACTCGCGAGTCCGCTACTACAAGCAGGCAGGCCCCTCCTCAAGCCATCGTTTGCCCGTGTGTCCTTGCCCGTCGTCAGTGTCAGCCACCCAACCTTCGCCGGTACTGCACGGCTAGCTGCACTTGCCACTACCAAAGCGAGGCTTAAAACATCGCTTGACCAAAAAAACCAGAACCTGCCCAGTTGGAGCTAACAAAACAGCCAGATGAGCAAAACTTGTGGGCCCACCTGTCTCGTTAAGTACTCCCTACCTCCAAAAGATAAAATAAAAATCTCGCTTCCTCATATGAGTCAAACAATTCCTATTTTTAACAAAAAATTAAATAATCTTATTTATGATACGTAACAAGTATCACTAGATTAATGATGGAATATATTTTTATAATAAACCTATTTAATTTGAAGATACAAACGTTGGTATTATTTTCTATAAAACTATTTTGCAAGACATTTGTGCTTTGTGTTTGTGTTTGACGTAATCTTGCTCAAATCTAACATTGTCTTTTGTTCTTTGGCATACAGGATCAAAAGGGAAAACAGCAATTATTGTTGGTAAGCACTACGCAGCCTATAGTCAGTACCCATCTTCATTTAGTCTAAAATGAGCAGAAGAAAAGCAGCATATAATGAATTATTGGCATGTGTCATGTTTGAAAATCCATAATTCTCAAAAAAATTATTTGGAATCCACTAACCAATGACAACAATGTAGATAAATTTCATCCTTCGGCAATAATCTGATGAGTTCCCTCACTGACTAGTGGTGCATTTTTCTTTGCAAATTGAATTTTTACAATGCTTTGTAGTTGAATTCTTTTGTGATGCTTTTGTTATGCAGGTATTGTTGCAGGCACATTATTCCTATGTCTAGGAATTCTCATATTCTTCTCGGCTCGTAAATATGCTTGGCTACCCCTCAAATCGAAGGACGAACCAAGGATTGAGTCCTTTCTACAAAAGAACGGAAATATACATCCGAAAAGATACACTTATGCAAATGTTAAAAGAATGACGAAATCCTTTGCTGTGAAGCTAGGCCAAGGTGGATTTGGTGCTGTATACAGAGGCAACCTCCATGATGGCCGCCAGGTAGCAGTTAAGATGCTAAAGGACACCAAAGGTGACGGTGAGGAATTTATGAACGAGGTGGCTAGTATTAGCAGAACTTCTCATATCAACGTTGTGACACTTTTTGGATTTTGCTTGCAAGGGTCTAAAAGGGCACTTATTTACGAGTACATGCCAAATGGTTCGCTTGAAAGGTACGCCTTCAATAGAAACATGAATAGTGAAAATTTACTAAGTTGGGAGAAATTATTTGATATAGCAATTGGCACGGCTAGAGGACTTGAATATCTCCACCGAGGATGCAATACTCGAATCGTGCATTTTGACATCAAACCACACAACATTCTATTGGATCAGGATTTCTGCCCTAAGATATCTGACTTTGGATTGGCCAAGCTATGCCTGAATAAAGAGAGTGCCATCTCTATTGCTGGTGCAAGAGGGACAATAGGTTATATCGCCCCAGAGGTCTACTCAAAGCAATTCGGACTGGTCAGTAGCAAGTCTGATGTCTATAGTTATGGAATGATGGTCCTTGAGATGGTTGGAGCAAGGGACAAGAATACAAGTGAAAATAGTGAATCTAGTAGCCAATATTTCCCTCAGTGGATTTATGAACATTTGGACGACTACTGTATCAGTGCTTCTGAGATTGATGGTGAGACCACAGAGCTCGTGAGAAAGATGATAGTTGTAGGTTTGTGGTGTATACAAGTGATTTCAACTGATCGGCCAACAATGACTAGAGTCGTCGAGATGCTGGAAGGAAGCACAAGTAATCTGGAATTGCCACCCAAAGTTCTCTTGAGCTGACAAGCATAGATATTTTCCTACTAATAAATGTTGCTAGCGTTACCAGGTTGTACAAATGCAAATATTTGTTATATAGTATGCAGAACTAAGGGCATGCATCAAATGCTATTTTTGTTCTGTAAACATAGATGCAGTAACTACATAGGAATTTCTGGAGAGGGGGTGCTCGTAGCCTCATACGACACAGTATGATGGTATTAGAGTACTTTGTTCAGACTACAGACTTGCTGCAAGCACAGATTCTCTTCTGTGTACATGTACACTAAGATCACTGGACAGATGCATTACAAATTCAGTAGGTGGTCCGGGTTTAAAATTTAAATCGTGATGGAATACATTACACAAATTAAAATAGCGACTAAACTCTTCATTACAATTCAGATCAGAATCGCGACGCCCAATTCCTGAAAATACTTGAACTGAGGACTAGAGATGATCGGTAGGCATTAAGTGTCGGAGCTTATCGAAATCAGAGTGCTCAACCGATGTGGTCATAGCTGCGATTTCAGCTGTCCGCACTCATAAGTGACCGTCGGCCATAGCGGTTCCGCCTGCGCGCATGTTTGCCTCCACTCCGCTTCCCGGCCGCCCGGGTAGCTTCCTAACAGATGACGGCGTTCCCTGTCTCCAGAGCCAACTAATTTCCACAGGCACAAAAGTCCGAACTTCGAAGGAAGCGATCGACCCAGACCTCCACTGTGTGACAAAAGTCCCTCCATTGGACGTGGAAAATTTTCTATCACGACTGACTTCGCAAGTCCTGTAAAGATTGACAGTGATTGACGGGGACTCTTGCGGTGACGAGTTACCGACAGCGTGTATCTTGACTTCCTACTAGAGTTCAATCCATTTTCGACGGAGCTTTCTGTCACCACGAAAGTTAGCCCAGCAGATACGTTTATGAACCAAGACGATTTGCCTGCACTACAAGACTGATCAGTGGACCAGTCAACGGAGGACTATTCTACGTTCAAACCAAATCTTTTCATGGGTTGCTCTGGTTGTGCTGACCAAACTTCTTCCAATTCCACTTAGCTTCTTTTCCTCACTTGGCATCCATGGTGTGCAGCTGCCCTGCAGTCAGCCACAACGTCAGCTTCGATGAGTTGTGGCTGTACAACAGCAGCGCCTTCCACAACCTCACCTTCTTCTTCGGCTGCCACCTAGGCGATTCCATGACGCTTGAGTTTGACGCATACAAAATCAAATGCGCGGATTTCAAGAGTCCGCCAGATGCTGGCCCAGGAGACTCCTTCGTGGTCATGACTGATGAGCATGACAGGTATCCGGAGCAAGAATTGGCGATGAACTGCAACATGATTGTCACCGTGCCAGTGAACCACGGTGTTCTGATGGCAGCAAGTAACCAGCAAGACTTCAGAAGCGGCGGGTATGGAGACGTGCTCAAGCGTGGGTTCGAGTTGGAATGGGAACGTGTCACAGCGGATGGGTGTCACCTGTGCGAGGAGTCGAACGGGCACTGCGCCTATAGCCAGCACAGTGAATTCCTGGGCTGCTTGTGCCACGGAGGGAAGGCGGGCAGCCCGGACTGCGAACACATCGTCCCTGCGACTGCGAGCACCGCAACTGCATCACGTAAGTCCTCCTGAACCAACCCTGTCCGCGAGCGGGCGAGCAGCGTCGCGAGCACGCGTGAGGCAGGTGGCGGCGCGAACGCGCGAGCTCCTCCCCGAGGCCGGTGAGCTCCTCTCCCTCTTCCCCGAGGCCGGCGAGCTCCTCTCCCTCTTCCCCGAGGCCGGCGCGTGACTCCTCCATGGCTGCCGAGATCTGTTCGCCATGCCCGGCATCGCGGCCGGCGCCATTGTCCTCGCCGGCGTCGAGCCCCTGTAGCGAACTGCGAGGGACCGCCGCCCCAGCTGGCCAGCCGAGCCCTGAGGCCCGAGCGGCGGAGGTCTCCCGCTGGCCACCGGTCACCCGCCCCATCCCCGCCGCCTCACCGAGCAGCAAGCGGCACCCCGCCGCCCCGCGGCCTGAGTGGCCACGCTCTGCCAGAGCGCCGCTTTCCGATCTGCGTGGTGCGAGCTTGGACGAGACGGGTGGGTAGGCAGCGGCGCGAGATCGGACGAGGCAGGGCGAGGTGGACGCGCTGCCGATTTCCAATTTCACAGAATGGACATCCAAACATGATTTGGTATTTTGCCTTGTCACCGGATTCCTAATAGCAATTTCATGTACATCCAAACATGTTATTTGGTATCGCAGTCCATTTCCAAAGCAAGTCTGATTTGGTACTGGTACTCAATTCAATTCCAGACATCCAATATCTACATCCAAACGGTAGCTTCTTTTCCTCACTTGGCATCCATGGTGTGCAGCAGCAGCAAACAAACAGAATCCCCGGACGTTGTTTGTAAGGAGGGGCCAGCGTGAAGCAACAAACACAAACCGCTTGGGAGTTGAGCAAACAGCTTTACCCATAGGCCATGGTGGGTGTCCTGCTACGCCACCATATGCCGCGGCTTCCGCTCCTCCTGGCTATATTGGTTGCCGCTTCCCGTGGCGATCCTTCCGGCGACGATTACAACACCTCCATATGCAAGCTGCAACCATACACATGTGGCAACCTGAATATCAGGTACCCGTTCTCAGTGGCGCTGCCCGTTCTATCTTTCCGATGAGACGGCAGATGTCCTGGGCAACGCCAACTCCTCCTGCGGCTACCCTGGGCTGGCCATCGACTGTGTGGACGACGAGTATCCCATCCTGCAACTCGGCAGCGGCCCAGACTACTACTACAACGTGACGGGCGTCAAGCCGTCAACTACTCCAACTCCACCATCTCCCTCGCCGACCCCGATGTCCTCGTCTCCTCGATGATGAGAGCTGCCCACGGGTCGACCACAACGTCACCGTGCCGCCCACCTTGTGGCTCAACCTACCAGAGTACACCGTTCGCTACCTCCTCTTCTTCACCAACTGCTCCATCGCCACTATCCGTGGACAGTCTACCATCCAGCCGATCGCATGTGCAAGCAATTCTGACGACGGTGTATTTGTGATTCCTTCGGAGCTGCCCCACCAAACTTTGTCACAGGAGTGCAAGCAAGTTCTCTTAGTGCCGGTGCTTCAGAACGCCTCCCTGACGATCGATTCGCAATGGAGCACCAACGGGTACCGCAACGCTCTTAAACAGGGTTTTCAGTTGGGATGGAACTTGAATAGGAAGTCCGAGCAGTGTACCAAGTGCGAGGGATCCAATGGAGAGTGTGCTCACAGCCGAGATGGGGAATTCGTGGCTTGCTTGTGTACCAACGGGCGAGTCAGCGGCGAGGAGTGCACCAACGGTAAGCCCTTTCTGTCCTTGTACAGCTGAATACCTTTTCTCTTTTCTTGGTTCCAAATCGCTAAGGGGATAGATCCATTAGCTTGCGGCTTCTTGACTTGTAGGTAGCTGCTAGTTTTTTTTAAGGGCGGCGAGAGTTTTGCCACAATTTTTATTAGAATGATAGAAGGAAAAAAGAGAGGAGATTACAGAACAAGAGTTTTGCCACAATTTTTTTTAGACGCTCGAAAAAAGAGTTTTGACGTAATTCTTTATCTCTTCCTTTTTAGTAGTATAGTCTTAGTCGTACCTGCTAGTTGTAGCTTCAGAACGAAAAAAAAAACTTGTTTTTGATTCACAATTTACCATGAAATCAAATCTTGCTTGGCCTGAGCGAAGAACTTCGATTGGTTTTTGAAAATAAAAGGTGTAGAAATGGATCTAAATAAAAGGATAACGAAAAAGCTATATAACACCCGGGTGTTTTAGCACCTAGGCCCACACGAATTTTTTTTCTGCAGCGGAACCGTCCGCCGGCGCCCGCGTTGCCACGCCAGCGCCCTTGCCCACGCCCGCGCCCGCACCCACCTGACCCCGGCCTGCGCCGCTGCTGCGCCTGACATCAAAAACAAACTCCGGCGAACTTCTTCTTCCCCAACTTCCGGCACCGCCCCCAAATTTTGTCTTTGTCCTTTCATAGAGAAAAAATTGTTACTTGTGATTTGTGATTTATTACTTGTGATTTATGATTTATGTCAAGGAGAAATATGAACAGTAACAGGAGAGAGGAGGAAGATGAACCGTGACCGTGTGGAAAAAATTCGGGTGTAACCGGGTGCTAAAACACCCGGTTGTTAGATAGACGTTCCCAAGGATAAAAATTTGTAGAAATCAATCGACCATCCAGAAATGTTAGCCATATCCTTAGCAGGACCACCAGCAGAAGCCAACCACCAGGTTGTTATATCTTAGGTTTCTCTTGGGCTTTCCATGTCAGTTTCGTTCTAACCCTAAAGGCCTGTTTGTTTGGGCTCTCTGAGAGCTTTTGGATCTCAGTTTTTCGACCTTCTAAAGCCAAAAAGCTCCCATAAGCCAAAGGTCATAGTGAGCTTCTGGTCTTTTGGCTTATGGGAGTTGTTTGGCTTTTGAAAAATCCATAAACCAGTGATCTCAAAGTGGTCAAAAGCTTAAACAAATAGGGTCTAAGTCTGCAACAGCCGCTCCCTCATGCTTACCACTTTGTAACATTGCAAGGTGTTTGATTCATCACAAAATCAGAATTTTTTTAGATGAGTTAGCATCAAGTTCAAAGTGGCATCATGAACTTTCGGATCTCGCCTAAACGCAACGTTTACACACCATTTAAACATTATACGGACACAGTAGTACGCTGTTTCTGTTTAATTGGCCATTTATCCCGTTTAAATGGCGTTTTGCCCGTTTAAGTGCCCATTTAGCCTAAATATTGGCTAAACGGCAAATGATCGACTATTTACTATTTAGCATTTCACCGATTCTTCCCCCAATCTGGACGCAATGTGTTGTGCAACGCTCTGTTCACCTGGACGTCCGCAACTTGAAAGGCTACTTTTTACCAAAAGAAATTAATTTGTTTGTTGTTTTAAGAAGCTCTTGGAGATGCTAATACCTTTTAATGTGTTCCAATAAAAGAAATTCCTACTTTCAGATTGCAAACGCCATTGATGGAGCGAGAAAGATGATGGCTCATTAATAGGATGTCCGGCTGCACTTAAAATAAGCCGCAACCAGCTGCTTAAATAGTAATTTGTGAGAGGAGTCAACGAAGCAAGTACTAGTTGTGCAATTGTTACTTTTCAAACTTTAAAGCACTATATCGTCGTCTACCATTTGATTTGAAGGTCCAATAAAAAAAAACTTTAGCCTCATACACGTCCCGTAGTTCAAAGTCTTTATCATTCTGCCTCTAATTAGGTCCAGTACCGTAAGCGCTCCAATCTGTTTGTATATGATATTTCTATCTACTTATTTGCCTCTTTGCTTCCGTTTGCAGGGCATCAAAAGGGATCTAGAATGTGTAAGGAACTTGTAACTTGGCTTCACTTCCATCGTTTCTCTTTAAGTATTTGTATTGTATGCTCATCTTTTACCAAACCTCCTTTAATCAGATATGCTATAGATCGTCGGTACCTATTTTCATCTAATCGGATATTTATAAGATAAACGCATGAAAATTAAGGGAATGTATATGTCAGTCTCTAGAACAAAAAAGTAAAATTTAAATAACTTTGCAAATTGGACAAACTAGAGTCATTCGGCATGTTCGCTGGTTGATTTCTGGGCTGATTTAGGCTGGCTGGTGCTGGTTTGTTGTGAAAGAAAAACACCGTTGGCTGGCTGATAAGCCATAGGTGAAACCAACAAGCGAACAGGCTGATTGATGATATCTTGTTGCTGATGCAGATATTATTGCAAGCACATTGTCCCTCCTACTTCTGTCTACTTATCCTTGCACTATTCCTGGCTCGCAAATATGGTTTGCTCTGCGTTAAACGGAAGGAAGAACCAATGATCAAGTCCGTTCCAGTTTCCTCAAAAAAAATCAAGTCCTTTCTGCAAAAGAATGGAAACCTACATACAAAAAGATACACTTATGCAGAAGTGAAAAGAATGACAATGTCTTTTTCTGAAAAGCTAGGACAAGGTGGTTTTGGTGATGTATACAGAGGCAACCTCTCGGACGGCCGTCAGGTAGCAGTCAAGATGCTAAAGGACTCCAAGGGTGATGGGGAGGAATTCATGAATGAGGTGTCCAGCATTAGCAGAACTTCGCATGTCAATGTTGTTATGCTCTTAGGATTTTGCTTGGAAGGATCCAAAAGGGTGCTCATTTATGAGTATATGCCTAATGGTTCACTTGAAAGGTATGCCTTCAATAGCAACATGAACAACCAAAATTCTCTACGTTGAGAGAAATTATTTGACATAGCAATTGGCATCGCTAGAGGACTTGAATATCTCCACCGCGGATGCAATACTCGCATCGTACATTTTGATATCAAACCCCACAACATTTTATTGGATCAAGATTTTTGTCCCAAGATCTCCGACTTTGGATTAGCCAAACTATGCCCAAATAAAGAGAGTGCCATTTCCATTGTCGGTGCAAGAGGAACAATCGGCTACATTGCACCTGAAGTCTTCTCGAAGCAATTTGGAACAGTCAGTAGCAAATCTGATGTCTATAGTTATGGAATGATGGTCCTTGAGATGGTTGGGGCAAGGGACAGAAATATCAATGCAGATAGTGAAACTAGCAGCCAATATTTCCCTCAGTGGATTTATGAACATTTGGATGACTAGCTTCTGAGATTAATGGTGAGACCACAGAGCTCGTGAGAAAGATGATAGCGGTAGGTTTGTGGTGTATAAAAGTTATACCAACTGATCGTCCAACAATGACTAAAGTCGTCGAGCTGCTAGAAGGAAGCACAAGTAATCTTGAACTGCCACCAAAAGTGATCATGAATTCCTGATTTGAAGATCAACAATATGTGCTAAGTAATCTTGAACTGCCACCAAAAGTGATCCTGAATTCCTGATTTGAAGATGAACAATATGTGCTATCCTCCCTCTCCCCTCCCCATTTCGTTAGAAAAAATGGAAGAAATGATATTCTTTAGTCGCAGTGTTGCCTGAGGGCAAATATGAGTTGCAGTTTGCGTAATTATAAGACACTAGTATAATGCCCGTGTTAACGCAACGGTTTTATCTAGAGAATGATTATAAAAACATCCAATTTATTATTTTGTAGTTTAACCTTTACCCAATTATTATATTGTAGCCTAAGTTATATTTGGCGTAAGTCTTTTATCATTTGTTGCACATCTTTAGGGAGGTTGAAACATTCGTTTGCAGGATTCGTCAAAATGTCAGCCAAGAATTCCTTCCTCAGTGTAGATGATAGTTACGCATGTTATAGAATATAATATGTTAGTATTGTATGTAGTGTACGGAATATAGTTGGAGACTATATATGCTTACAGTGGTGATCCGTGGCAATTTTACGCCATCCCACGACTTTATGAAATTATAGACAAGAAAGCCTCCCAATTTTCTGACGGAGAAGATCAGTTGTTTATTTGATGTACATAAATTAAATTACTGTTTTTTTTATAGAAAAGTTGAACCAAATTTTACGACACTTATCAGTATTTATGACGCGAAACCTTTGTTACATATTTAGGTAAGCAGCATTGGGAATCTTTTAACCGCAGTGTGCTCATACAACCTTGTGTGATGGTATTATTTGTGTCAGGGTTACTACAAGTACAACTCTCTTCTGTGCCAATATGCACAATTCATTGGACAACTGCACTAAGATGCATTAGATGCCTTTACATCCTTCGAAATACAATGCAAAGTAATGTGACAACTAAAATCCCCGTTGACAACTCAGATCAGGACTACGTCGTACAGTTCTTATAGAATACTTGAATTGATAATCGGACATTAGGGATTTATAGGCGCAGGGGTTACCTATCGCCGAAGCCGGATTGGCCAAAAAAGAGCAATGCAGTTCAGATGCCAGCAGTCGGCGTCGGCCGAACTGGTGCCGCCGCCTGGCCCAGATAGATTGCCTTCCCCTGAGTCTAGGCAGATATCGCCAGGCTCACCGGATTCCAGTGCCGCGCGGCAACATATGCGAAGGGGGAATTGGGAACGAGGGATGCGGCGAGAGTAGCAGGTCGCCTGAGGGACGTCCGACGACATTTCTTCTTCACTACGGGCCGTGGGCTACTAAAAGAGGTTTTTCTTGTTCGTGGGCTACTAGTAACTGGCCCATTTTTTTACTTACTTTTGGTGGGGCAAGGTTTTTTTTTTGAACCTGGAAATTCCGTTGCTCGTCTGCCAAAAAGGTCAGCAGCAACAAAAACATTTACAGTGTCTGGGATGGAGCTTGAAATCAGCTCCTCTCCTTCAGAACACGCATACCCCAGCTCAGCCAAAGCATGAGCAACTTGATTACATTCTCTACGTTTGAACAAACAAACAAAAAAGGAAAAGTTTGTGGAATTAAGTGACTTCAGTTCTTGCACCAATTCTCCTTTAGGTTTCGCACAATACGCCTCCCATGCCAACTCTTGCTGGAGTATGAGCGCATCAGTCTTCAGTATTAACCTGCTGACCCCAAGTTCACTGCTGCTTGGACGCCTTGTAAAGCTGCTATAACTTCTGCATGAAAAGCAGTCAGCAGATGATTAATTATCCCTCGGCCTGACAACACCACATCGCCATCACTGTAGTGTAAGATGAAGCCCCAGCTGCCTGTGTCGGAGTCGGCCAACTATGAAGCATCATAGTTTAGTTTCAACACCCCCTCTGGCGGTCTGCGCCATTTTTCCTTTGATGTTTCTGTTCTCATCTTTCCACCCCTTGCGTTTTGGATATCTTGGCCGCATACAATCTGATTGACCGAGCTAGTGTATCGGCATTTCTCTGCCTGCCTTCCTCCTGCACACTATTTCTTTCTGACCATAGGGATCAGATCAGGATCACCATCAACAGCCGGTTTTCTTTATTCACTTTCAAAATTTATGCCATCACCTCTGCCGGTGTGGATAAGTTAACTAAAGCCACCCTGCCTCCTTCTAGCGATAGTAGCAGCCAAACATTTCTGGCAAGCTTCCACTTGAAGAACAAATGAGCTCCATCTTCCTCTTCCCTGCCGCACACAGGACATACCGTATCTATCCTCATTCCTCTTCGGGCTATATTACAACGCAGGGGGTGACTGCTGTGGGTTAGTCGCCAAATGAAATGCTTGATCTTGCTCGGGCAATTTAGATCCCAGATTTTACTCCAAATCGGGGCAGGACAGTTGCTGCTGCTACCTTGAGCTCCATCTCCGGCTGCTCTTCGTATTATGTCACCTTTGCACACTCTGTAAGCACTCTTGACACTGAAAAGATCTCTTTTATCAAAATGACAAGCAAGTCTATTCTCATGCCCTTCAAAAATTGGTAATGCTAGGATAATTGATGCATCTTCCTCCCAAAATGTGTCCTTAACTAACTCTTCATCCCATGAATCTGTAAACGTGTTTATCAGTTCATCCACATAGGTTAATAGGCTGGCTCCTCTGGGCGTGATCGGCTTATGCGATTGATCCCGCGGTAACAACGGGTCAGACCAGAATTTTAAATTGCTCCCATCCCCTATTCTCCAAACCATACCCTTATTCATTATATCCAGGCCGTGTAGAATGCTGCGCCAACTATAGGACATGCCATGCTTGGCCTTTGCCTCCAAGACCGAGGTGGAAGCAAAATATTTAGCTTTCAATACTCGGGCACAAAGAGAATTTGGGTTTTGCCATAGTCGCCAGCTTTGTTTAACCAACATTGCAAGGTTGAAAGCATAAATATCTCTAAAGCCGAGCCCTCCTTCCTCCTTCGTCCTCATCATTGTTTCCCTACTTGGCCAGTGTATTTTGTGTTTTCCTTCTTGTTGGTTCCACCAGAATCGACACACCATTGCACTTATTTGGTCACAGAGTGTCTTGGTAAGATAGAAGCATCCCATGGCAAAGGTGGGAATGGCTTGTGCTACAGCCTTGATTAATATCTCCTTCCCAGCCCAAGAAAAGAATTTATCCTTCCACCCTTGTATTCGTGACCATATCCGTTCCTTCAAGTACCCAATGACATCACTCTTTGATTTCCCCACTTGAACAGGAAGACCGAGGTATCTCTCATTCATTGTTTGTTTAGTAATTTGTAGCCGATCACAAATCACCCTTCGCTGTTGTGAACTTGTATTCCTACTAAATAGGACAGCCGACTTAGCCTTGTTGATTACCTGCCCGGAACACTTCTCATACAGGTTAAGAATTTCCTGAAGCTGCTGGGCATCCCCTCATTCACTCGAATCAAAATCAGAGTCATCGGCGAATAACAGGTGTGAAATTCTCGGAGCAGCATGGCAAATCTTCACTCCAGCCAGTGTTCCATCCCCTTCGGCGTTGTGTAGTAAAGCAGAAAAAGCTTCAGCACATAGAAAAAAAAGGTATGGCGACAATGGATCTCCTTGCCTTAGTCCTCTCTCAGGTTTGAAGCTTTCTGTCAATTCACCATTAACCTTGATTCTATACGAAACCGATGTGGTGCACTCCATGATTAAATCAATCCATCTATCAGCAAAACCCAGTCTGTGCATCATCTTTTTCAAAAAATCCCATTCAACTCTGCCATAAGCTTTACTCATGTCTAATTTCAGAGCCGCAAAACCCATATCACCCTCCCTTTTATTCAATAGGTAATGAGTAATCTCATAGGCAATATGGAAGAAGGTGATTCTCAAAAAAAAAAAAAAGGTATGGAGGAAGGTAAGCACGGAGTATTTTCATGCTGACCTATTTATTTTGTAGTTTCTTTTTCAAAAAAGAAGAGCCTGTTTACTGTTTTGGGGTCTGTCTACCATGTACTTGCGTGTTTCAAAAGGTCCTGACACCCGAGTGTCGGATCTCTTGAAATCACTCGATTCACCGAACCAAGAAAATCGAGTGTTTCATGTCTAGGAAACACTCTCCATAAGCACACGATCCACATCTAAGGGACCAAATATAAAAGATCAAATAAATGCAAAAACCAAAATAAAAAAATAGAAAAATAAAAAATCAGATTAACAAAATGAATCAACTGATTATTTCTATGAAAGACAAATTGGAAGAGTTTCAAAGAAAAAGCAAAGAAAACGTACAAATTTAAAATAAGTATGCCAAATAAATTAACAGATTAATTTTATGAAAGGCAAATTGGAAGATTTAAAAAAATCAAATAAAACATACAAATTTCAAGGGAAAGAACAATGAACAATCAGTTTACACCAATTAAACATAAAACTTACATCTAAAATGAAATAGTAAAATATAGTCGACTCAGATGTAATCTACTCCGGCCAAAAGAATTAGTACAGATACAAAGACGAGGTGATGTGGCCAATGTCCCTGCTGCACCTGCACCCACCTGCATCTACTGCTCCACCGCGCATGCACTGACTGCACCTGCAGAGCACAAGGCAGCATGCCCTCCACCGCGCATGCACTGCAGCAGGCATGGTCAGGCGCTCAGCAACGGTGCAAGCCACGCCCGACGCGATCTGTCACCTTGGGTCCCGCGCCTGCTTGGTCCATCGCCTCCGTTAACAGCGCGGAATCGACGGACATAAAATTGAGTGACAGGAGATAAAGATTTACTGAAACATGCTTTTGTTTCTAGATCAAGACCGCACACTCATTGTGTGAATCAGATTGGACAATGGAGACCTGACCTAGAGGCGAAGCGACAGAGCCATCACCATCCAATTTTCGCAAGCAGAGAATAAACATGCGCACGTTCTTTCTAGTTCGAGACGTCGTCTCTGGATCGATAGAAAACGCTCGGTTTCAACGCATTTGTATATGTATGTATGCCGAAGCACGTTGCATGACTTTGCAGCTCTCTTTTACTTCTCGTACGTGGGGAACCAAACAAAAAGTCAATCATATGAACCCGGACATTCCAGACCGAATCGGAGCCTTTGGTCAGTGCTGGACTTGGGCACAAAATGCCATGGCAGGACCGCAGGAGAACGCATGCAACTCACCGAGCGGCGTTACTAATCGTATATCACAAAGGGATCACAAACGCTGGTCAAAACATTTGATTGGAATCTCGTTACTTCTCAACGTATTTCAACACGATTACAAAGACTGCTGCAAGCGCGGCTTTGGCATTTGACACCGTCCATAAGGCCCTTTGGTTTCTACGGTCACTCCCTGTCATATCGAATATTTGGACACATGCATGGAGTATTAAATATAGACTAATTATGAAACTAATTATACAACTTGCGACTAATTTGCGAGACGAATCTTTTAAACCTAATTAGTCCATGATTTGACGACGTGGCGCTACAGTAAACATATGCTAACGACAGATTAATTAGACTTAAAAAATCGTCTCGCAAATTAACCTCCATCTGTGTAATTAGTTTTGTAATTAATCTATATTTAATGCTCTTATTAGTATCCTAATATTCGATGTGACATAAATTTTACGAGCGACTAAAACCCAGCACCCTGAGTCCATTAACCTTCGTTCTTCCTTCACGTGATCGTGATCGCGGACGCCTTCCGGAACGAGTACTGCTCTCCGTTCTGTACTGCTGTCATCGTCCACACAGCTGTGGCCGCTGAATCGGCTAGCCGGACCTCTCGTGTCCACGCGACGTGGCGACGGGCCGGGATTGTATAGGAACTGGTTATATAAGCTCGCGCGCATTTTCACCTGTGTACAACTACTCTGTTCCTTCATGATGACGCGTCGTCGCTTCTTCTTTCTTGTAGCTGTAGCCTGCCTGATCCATGGCTTGGGCACGCCGCGCGGGTGCTCTGCTGCGCCAACCGCGGCGCCGTCCTCCGGTTCCTCCTCGTGCTCGGCTGCCGTCACGTGCGGCAAGGTCAACATCACCTACCCGTTCCATCTCCTCTCCGACGGCGGCGCGGCCGCCGCCTTCTGTGGCTACCCCGGGCTGGGCCTCGACTGCGTGGACGGCAACACGACGGTGCTCCGTCTGAGCACCAACAACAACACCGTGCTCACCATCAACTACCCGGCGCGCACCATGTTCGTGGTCGACTCCGGCATCGCCCGCGCGGGGTACGACTGCCCGAGCGTCGCGCACAACGTGACGGTCGCGCCGGGGTCCGGGGTGCAGTTCACCACGTCGGACGCCAGCCTCACCTTCCTCGTCGGCTGCGCGGGCAGCGGCGGCGGCGACGGTGCCCCGCCCTCGGCGTGCCTCGACGGCTCCGCGCCGATAGGCTGCGGCCTCAGCGGCGTGGCCGGGGACGGGGAGAGATCTTACGTCTTCCGGGGCGCCAGCGCCACCGCTGCTGCCGCGCTGCCGGGAGGAAGCGAGTGCGCCAGGTACTGCCGTGGCACGGTGACCGTGCCGGTGTACGCGGCGCTGTTCGACGTGCCGAGCTTGTCCAACCTGTCCACCAGCTACGCCAGGGTGCTCAAGAACGGGTTCGAGTTGAGCTGGGACAGGAGCTTCGACGAGCAGTGTGGCCCGTGCGAAAGCTCCGGCGGGTGGTGCAGCTACAACCGGACGACCACGGCTTCTGGCGGCGGCGGCGGCCCGTTGGTGTTCAGTTGCATCTGCCCCGACGGACGGTCAAGACCAAGTGACTGCGGTATGTTAGGTTTATTAGCAGCTTTTATGCACGTTTATAGCACACCACAAGTCCATTACATATGAGCGTTGTTAGATCAGCAATTTGCTTATTTGACAGGTAATTAATAGAGATATAGAAACCATCATTAATACACCATTGGAACTGCCTTTGCCCCGCCTCTCTTTTTTTGTTCTTCGTCTCTTTTTCTCCACCTCTCAGATTCCACTCCAATAAATCTGAGCCAACTCCAATTTTTCACCCTAGCGGCCTAGTCTCACGCACACCGCCCTTCTCCTCTACTGTAGCCGTTCGAACTAACGGTCGATTCCGTAACACGATTTCTAGCATGTTAGTAGGCTAGTACATCCTCGTAATACCACATCTCAAAAATTAGATAGGTAAAGGTCGTCTTATGGTTTTTCACACTAAATTAAATCTATAATATCTCTAAATTAACCCTTTTATATGAAGTCACGGGTCCAGAAGAGATGCTTGTGCCATCCTATTGGTACAGTGGGCCATAAGCAAAATTTAGATGCTATATGCCACATGTGTTGAGCCCACATGACACTGATGACAGAGGGGTGGGTGAAGCGATAGAGAGGCATTATCTTTGACCTAGGTGGAAACAAATATTGTCAACTATTTTTCAATCTAACATCAATGCATCACCCAGCAAGACTTTTTCTATCTTAGCTCGAAAATAAATGTGTTGAAACAAAAAAAAAACAGTCCTCTCTCAAAAAGTGAAGTTTCTTATTTTTTCGGCTAAAACAGATATTTTTAAAATATTTTTTTCCAAAATACAGTAGATGCATGCGCATAGTTCGCACGGTCCAGCATGGGGATGCATATTACCCCTAACGTTTTTAATTTAATAAAACTTTTAAGTATTTGTAATTAAGTTGTTCGATGTTTTATAAAATTTAATTAAAATACTTGGAGCGTTTGGCTACTCCCGGTGGCGGTGGTTCGCTACCGTGGTGATCATCTTTTTTTTTTTGAGCGCTATCGTGGTGACCATCATGTGCTATAAGGGCATTAAACAGATGTAGGAATAGCTTGAATGATATTATCATATTACAGTAGCATTGCTGATGTTTCCTAGACACTTTCAAAACAATTAATCGTTTGGTGTCTGTGTCTATGAAAGTTGACCAGAAGCATGGAAACAAGAAACTCAAACAACTATATACAAAAGATTTCTAAAATCCATGTGTTTATGACAACTAATAACAATTTCTATCTACTTTCCACTGCAGGGCATGGTATCACAAGGAGGAAAATCAGAACATGTAAGAAAAACACACATATATATACAACCTAGCTTGAAAAATTCACGTATGTTGTATATACGTACTCACTCTGCACAGTGCACAAGCCCTAATATTGCAAAATGTTGAATCTTATTAATTGTTCTCACTGTTTATAGATGTAATAGCGTCAACAACAAGTATGGCTTTCGTGCTCCTATTGTTTCTGGCATATCTCATGCATCACAAGAGAACCTATGGCTCATTCGTCTTCTGGAGAAAACGATCATACATTTCACCAAGAGTTGAAGCCTTCCTGCAAAGATATGGTTCTCTCCACCCAAAGGTTTACTCCTATATGGAAGTGAAACGGATGACTAAATCATTCGCGCATCAGATAGGGCAAGGCGGATGTGGTGTTGTCTACAAGGGCAGTCTCCCTGACGGCCACTTGGTTGCTGTGAAAATGCTCAAGGAGTTGAAAGGGGATGATGAGCAATTCATGAACGAGGTAGCAAGCATTAGCACCACGTCTCATGTCAACATCGTGACTCTGCTAGGGTTTTGCGTACAAGGTTCCAAGAGAGCTCTCGTGTACGACTACATGACAAATGGTTCACTTGAGAGATTTATCTTCAGCAAGCACTTAGAGGACAAGAATTCTCTTAGTTGGGGCAAACTATTTGAGATTGTGGTTGGCATTGCAAGAGGACTAGAATATCTACATAGAGGATGCAAGACTAGAATTGTGCATTTTGACATCAAGCCCCACAATATCTTGCTTGATGAAAACTTTTGTCCGAAGATATCCGACTTTGGATTGGCGAAATTAAGTGTACAAAAGGAGAGCACTATCTCCATTGGTGTAGCAAGGGGCACAATTGGGTACATTGCACCGGAGGTTTTCTCTCGACAATTTGGAGTTGTTAGTAGCAAATCTGATGTCTATAGCTATGGGATGATGATTCTTGAGATGGTTGGATCTACAAGAACCACAAATAATAATACTAACTGTGAGAGCAACGATGAGCTCTATTTTCCTCGGTGGATATATGAGAATTTGGATCAGTATTGCCTTGATGCTTCTGAGATGTCTATGAGTGATAGTGAGGTTGTAAGGAAGATTATTGTTGTTGGGTTGTGGTGTGTACAAGTGATGCCCATCGATAGGCCTTCAATGAGTCAGGTAGTTGAGATGTTGGAGAGTGACCTAAAAGACCTTCAGTTGCCGTCCAAGCCTCTTACCCCTTCTTCGTAATCTTGAGCAGAGTGCACTCAAATTTGCTATTGCTTGTGTGCTATAAACTTTGAGGTTGTATATCCATCCAAATATGGAAAATATAATATAAATGCGAGGTCACTCACATAATTGCATGGCTAGTATATCCTTCGATTTTTATATGACTTACAGTGAACTTTTCTTCTATGTTTTTACTCATATGTTCTACTCTAATGTCCATGGCTTTGTTAGTATTTGTTGTCAACTTGTCATCATAAGTAGTTATTCCATCACGAGTGATCTGCGTGGTATATCTCTTTTTATTGGTTGGTTAATGATATAACCTCAAGCTACATAAATGTATGAACCTTACCTTGGTATAATAGCTCATATCATCATGTAATTCACTTCACCATAGGAATCTCTCAAACTTCACTTCATCCTTGGTACATGGTAGTTGTGTTGTGGATCTGCTCCTCGCCGATGCTGATGTCTCTTAACAGTTCTCCAACGCTAGAGCCGTTGTTCCCAAGTCTCCTCGACTGCCATCTAAGGCACGAAAGGTAGTGCACAAAGGGAAAAGCGCGAATGGAATGCAGGGGTGGGGGCGCATAGGAGGACATGAGGCGAGGTGCACCAGATTCCCTTCACCACATGTGAATAAAATGCCTCCTTCCAAGTATAGTGTCGAATGGTTTCCATGACGTAGGTGAAAGCATCTAGGCCCCTAGTTGGGTTTCGGTGATTAATGACAATACGTGATTACTATGACTAACGTGTGTTTTGCAGAGGCAATTAAGTTAGGTCATGGTAATGGAGATCGATTGGGCAATAATGGTTGTCATGCCCCTACGATGGAAATCGTTTCGGTTTACAAATGATGGACGACAAGGTTAAGGATGGACTAGTTCTAAGTGTTGTTTGGAGTTGAAGAGACACTTAGAGTAGTTTATGACTTTGTTTTTCCTTTGGCCATATTATTAAGGGAGGTATGGACGGATAGCTTGACCTAGGTGAGTCTAGTGGGTTAGGTGTGGTGCACACTTGCTAAATCTAGCACTAGGTAGCTCCAAAATAGCCCTTAGATCTAATGGAGCAAACTTCATTCACATATAATTGAGAGTTGGAAGTGAATGGAGGGTCAAATGTTGACCGGACGCTGGTTCCGGAGTGATCGGACATTGGCTCAGAGTCTGGTCAGTTCATTTGATTAAGGTGAAATCGTCTGGCACGACCGGACACTAAGAGGTGAGCGACCGGACGCTGGGTGCGAGCGTCCGGTCGACTCCAGTAAGGTTCCAGAGAGGGAAAATCACGACCGGACGCGTCCGGTCACAACTTTAACACTGGAGGTTGGGGTGAACTGACCGGAGCGTCCGGTCACCCCGCAGAGGCACATAACGGTTCGTTTTTCAACCAAGGTTATAAATACTTTCTCTATTCGTGTGAGGGGGTACTTTTGCTCATTCCAACAGCTGAGAAACACCTTTGAGAGTGCCGAGAAGAGCAAGGTCCTAGTGAGGTGATTGAGATTTGAGAATCCCAAAGAGAGCCCTCATTAGTGAAAGCAAGAGTAGCAAAGTGTGCATCCACCCTTCTCATTAGGCTTGTCGTAGTCAAGTGAGAGTTCGTGCTTGTTACTCTTGGTGATCGCCATCACCTAGACGGCTTGGTGGTGATTGGGAGCTTGGTGATCATCCGGCGGAGCTTGTGGATGACCCAACTCAAGTTATGAGCGATTGTGGGTGATTCACCGCGACGGAGTGTCAAAGAATCAACCCGTAGAGAGCATTTGATCCTTGCGCGGATCAAGGGGGAGCTACACCCTTGCGCGGGTGCTCCAACGAGAACTAGTGGGGAGTTACGACTCTCCGATACCTCGGCAAAACATCGCCGCGTTCCTCCTTCTCTCTTTACTTTGAGCATTTAATTTGAGTAATTCAATTCTTGTCATTTACATTCATAGAATTGCCATGCTAGAGTAGGATTGAACATAGGTTGCTAAACTTTTGTGCGGTAGATCAATAGAAACACTTTCTAGGCACAAGGGGTTAATTGAGCTAATCATAGGGTTTAATTATTGCAAAGAATTTTAGAATTAGGCCAATTCACCCCCCATCATGGGCATCTTGATCCTTTCAGTAGAAAACAATGCCCGCACAGTTTCACCCCGCATGAAACTCGTCCCCCCCCCACCCCCGTCCTCTCTCTCCTTATTTTGCAAAAATGAAATCCACATTGGGACTAGCCTAATACTGATGTAAGGTGAATTTACTCTTCATTGTATGAACGGGCATATATCATTTGGGAAATGTGTCACTTTCATTGTATAGGGTACATTGCACCTGAGGTCTTCTCCAAGCAATTTGGAACAGTTAGTAGCAAGTTTGATGTCTATAGTTATGGAATGATGGTCCTTGAGATGGTTGGGGCAAGGGACAAACATATGTCATTGCAGACAATGAATCTAGCAGCCAATATTTCCCTCAGTGGATTTATGAACATTTGGATGACTACTGTATCAGTGCTTTTGAGATTAATGGTGAGACCAGAGCTCGTGAGAAAAATGATTGTGTAGGTTTGTGGTGTATACAAGTTATACCAACTGATCGTCCAACAATGACTAAAGTCGTCGAGATGCTACAAGGGAGCACAAGTAATCTTGAGCTGCCACCAAAAAGTGATCCAGATTTGAAGATCAACAATATGTTACTAAATGCTATTGATTACTCGCAGTGTTGCCCGAGGGCAAATATGAGTTGCAGTTTGCATAATTTAAGACATTCATCAAAGTGTGTTTTTGGACTGTAAACAGTAAGCAGCATTGGGAATCTTTTAACCGCAGTGTGCTCGTACAACCTTGTGTGATGGTATTATTTGTGTCAGGGTTGCTACAAGTACAACTCTCTTCTGTGCCAATATGCACAATTCATTGGACAACTGCATTAAGATGCCTTTACATCCTTCGAAATACAATGCAAACTACAGATGACAAGTATAATCCCCGTTGACCACTCAGATCAGAACTACATCGTACAATTCTTGAATACTTTTTTTTTAGAGTTCAAGGGTGGCCCCCGGCCTTTATATTGCAAAGACCAAACAGTTAAGCATCCATACAAGTTTTGTCAACCAGACCAGAAACAGCCGAAAAGCAGAAGAAAGAAAAGGCTATCAAGACAGCAGAACTACATCCCCCAGGCATCAGCAAGGCCTGCAAAGCTGATCCATTTCCCATCCAAAGACACCTTCTCCATGTCATTAACGTCAACCAGCATCTCCTTTGCTTCATCTGGCAACCCAGCAGACTTCCTCCAGTCAATGCCAGATTGGTACAGGAGGCGCTCCCATTTGTTGTTGACTTGGTTCAGCCAGGCAGTCTGGGAGGCCTTGTGACAGCAGTCCTCAGTTTGTCCAGACATCTCATAAACTCTGTCACACTCTCCCTAGGACATAGCGAACTCCAATTCTGTAGCATGGTTGTTACCAGCACAAAACACGCCCGTCCTTCCAAGGATGACCCTGAAAACACAAACTGTTCCTCACTTTCCAAAGCCCCCACAGGGCCGCAGCACAGAAACTATTAGCAATCACAAACTTTTTATTACTCAACCACAAAGTACCTACAGAAATGAAATCTGATCCCACCTGTCTATTTAGTACCTCAGACTTAACAGCCCACAGCTGTTTGGCAACCACACACTCAAAAAATAAATGCTGAATAGATTTAGCCTCTGAGCAAAACAAGCATGAGGGATCCTCAACTTTTCTCCTAATACTTAAGTTGTCTCTAGTCAGGAGCTTGTTCTTGGATAACAGCCATAAGAAAAAATGGACCCTTGGTGGGATCTTTAAAGCCCAGACCGCAGGAACATGAACAGAGGTCACTCCTCTGAAATTAATGACTTTATACAATGATGGGGACGAATACACTCCCTGATAATTAAATTGTCAAACACAGTTCTTGAATACTTGAATTGGTAACCGGACCATCAGGGATTTATAGGCGCAGGGGTTACCTATTGCCGAAGTCGGATTGGAGCAATGCAGTTCAGATGCCAGCAGTCGGCGTCGGCCGAACTGGTGCCGCCGCCTGGCCAATCATTGGGACTAGCCTAATGCTGATGTACGGTGAATTTACTCTTCGCTGTATGAACGGCATATATCATTTGGGAAATGTGTCACTTTCGTCTTGTAATATAATAAACCAATAATACAAGCTCGCCGGCCTGGCCAATCATTGGGACTAGCCTAATGCTGTTTTGCAATGTCCATCAGCCCATAACTCAAGCCAAACTCAGCAGCTTCCATATGTCCGCTTGTCTACTGAGTCCTGACAACTCCATGAACTACAGCACTAGAGACCGCGAAACTGACCGAAAACTTCTATACGAGATTGTCTTGCCATTTGCGAAGTATTCTGCCTCTTTCTCCTTCAACACAATCTCTTACCGCTCAGCTTAACAATATACTAAGTGCGTATGCTAAAATTGTAGCGCAAGCCGTGTGCCACCTTCCATTCCACGATGCCCAAGCCCAACAAGCTTTCGCTCTCCGCTTACCTGCTCTGGGCCATGTCCGTGCTCGCCGCGGCGGCCTCAGACGATGTCAGAATCGCCGTGTACTGGGGCCAGGACGCCAGCGAGGGCTCGCTCAGGGACACATGCAGCACCGGCCTCTACGCGTACGTCAACATCGCCTTCCTCTCCACGTTCGGCGACGGCCGCGCCCCGATCCTCGACATGGCTGACCACTGCGACCCGCCGTCGGGGGGCTGCGCGTCCCTCGCCACCGACATCGCCTCCTGCCAGTCCGCGGGCATCAAGGTGCTCCTCAGCATCGGCGGCGGCACGCTCGGCGGCTACAACCTGTCCTCGCCGTCGGACGCGCAGGGCGTGGCCGCATACCTCTGGGACAACTTCCTCGGTGGCACCGGCACCGGTGCTCCCCGCCCGCTCGGAGATGCGGTGCTCGACGGCGTCGACTTCGACATCGAGGACCCGTCCCGGTACTACGACGACCTCGCGCGGAACCTGACGTCGCTGTACAGGGGCGACGCGCGGGGCAGGACGTACATGCTCACCGCCGCGCCGCAGTGCCCGTTCCCGGACGAGTCCCTCGCGGCGGCGCTCGGCACGGGGCTGTTTGACCACGTGTGGGTGCAGTTCTACAACAACCCACCGTGCCAGTACGCCCATGGGGACGTCGGTGCGCTGCGGAGCGCGTGGCAGCAGTGGACGGCGGGCCTGCCGTCCACGACCGTGTTCCTGGGCCTGCCGGCGTCGCCGGACGCTGCGGACAGCGGGTTCGTGGACGCGGACACGCTCGCCTCGCAGGTGCTGCCGGCGGTGGAAGGCGCGGCCAACTACGGCGGCATCATGCTGTGGAGCCGCTCCTACGACAAGGACACTAGATTTAGCGTGAAGCTGCAGGGCATCTTGCAAAACCGGACCTCAGATAAGAAAAGGAGAATCTGTATGTGGTCACTCTGTCAGAGATGACTCATTTGACAGTTCCGTTTCATGCCGTTTTAATTTTAACTCCCTGTTATCTGTGCAGATATAATAGTAGGAGCAGCTGTCGCTGGCGTTTTGCTGCTGTTCTTGCTTATTTGCATTTACTTCCTCTGCCACAAGAAGAACCGTGGGACGCCACCTCCTGAGGAGGGATCAGGGACCCCTCCAGCTCCAAAAATAGAACTGCCTCAGCCAAAACAAAAACCTCAGCGTCTGAAACGCTACACCGATTCAGAGATTGAGAGGATGACAAAATCTTGTGCTCACAAGCTGGGCCATGGCAGCAACGGTGATGTTTACCGTGGCAACCTCCGTGACGGCCGTCAGGTAGCGGTGAAGGTGCTGAAGAACAGCATGGGTGATGACAAGGAGTTCATGAGCGAGGTCGCGAGCATCGGCAGAATTTCCCATGTCAATGTTGTCCCACTGCTAGGAATTTGCTTGCATGGTCCGACAAGAGCTCTCGTCTACGAGTACATGCCCAACGGCTCCCTTGAAAGCTATGCGCTCAGCAACGATGACTCGGTGGAAGAGAATTACTCGCTGAGGCTGTACTGGGAGAAATTGTTTGACATAGCCATCGGCGTTGCACGGGGACTAGAGTATCTCCATGATATGGGCAATGACAACGCTGTGCATCTCAATGTGAAACCCCGCAATATTCTGTTGGATCAGGAGTTGCGTCCAAAGATATCTGATGTGGGCGTAGCAAACTTATGCTTTGGCAGAGAGGGCAAGAGGACTGGAGATCCGAGGGGAAGAGATGGCTATGATGCAGCTGAGGTGGTGTCCGGGAATTTTGGCTCAGTCAGCAGTAAATCTGATGTCTACAGCTATGGCGTGATGGTCTTAGACACGGTGAGGGCGAAAAGGAGCATCAGTGTTGGCGCCGACACTAACAGCAAGTACTTTGCTCAGTGGCTGTATGAACACTTGGATCAGTTCTGCAACAGCATTTCTGACATCAGTAGTGAGACAAGGGATCTTGTAAAGAGGATGATCATAGTTGGGCTGTGGTGCATACAAACGGCACATACGAATCGGCCTTCGATGAGCAAAGCCGTCGAAATGCTGGAAAGTAGCAGCATGGACTTGGAGTTGCCAGTAAGGATCTCTTGAGGTATAAAAGGCATGGCTGTAACTCGTAGTAACATTGTTCATATCATGAGAAGTAGTGTATCCATGTTCTCCAACAAAGAAGTTTCTGTAAAATATTTTTCTAGAAGAGCTCAAATGGTGTCACTGACAGAGTACAAATGGTTTCAATTACCCAATCCTACAATCATATATGATGTATGTTAGTGGTTCTCGCTGTGCCTCTGTCTTTTCCTTCTCCTGGAGTTGTTAGTGGTTCCCGCCCGCTCGCCTTGCTTTTGGAGTGCCTGTTCTTGGTTGTATGGTGGCTTAGTAGGAGTAGTGGTGCTCTTTTAGCAGGCATGAGGCTGGGTATGTAAATACTTGTAATTCTTCTTTTTTCCCCTTTTTATCGTCTAATAAAAAATGCGGCAAAGCTTTTGCCGTTCTTTCTAAAAAAATATATGATGTATGATAACTCTACTTGAGGAACTATTTATGTGATCTTCGTAAGTTTTGTTTTGTATCGTTAGACTTGTTTGTCTTTCCTACCGAATAGTCAGAGCTCATGCCTTTACTGAACATTTCATCCTCAGCACATCTGTACTATCTCAGGGCAGTAAGGTGAACTCGGCAACAATTTTTGAAATCTTTTAAGAGAACATAAGGTCCACAATTAGAGAGAAGATGATGAACAAGTTCAGATCATCTTACTGCAAGATAGCAACTGAACAGATAGTCACGCAACATAGGGATTAGTGCTACATAGGAGTACTGAAGATTAGCACACTTCTTAGGGACTCTCACTAGGTCTCGAGACATACTGGTGAAATCTAAGGTTCTTAAACATATAGAACTACATGTCCCTCCTATATGTTGATGACATCGTCTTGACAGCTTTGTCCCCGGATTCATAATCTGGTCAAAGCTTTGCCAAAACATTAGAATCACCTACCGCTCAGTGGTAGGAAGGCTTATCACTCCAGGAAGGAGCAGAACAAGATTTCTGTCTATCTTATTGCCTTCCAAGCAATCCTACCTCTTTGCTTTCTGATTTCACCTTGCATTGATCTCTTGAATGCAGACTAATCGTGGAACTAAACTAAGGTGCTTAATCGTGGACCATGGTGTTCTTGCTTGATTTGTTGTCTTTACAAATGATTGCAGATTATGAGCTGGTTTTCTTTAGCTCACCATAATCCTGATGAAGAACTTATCCAAGGGGTTTGTGAGCATCCTGACAAAATTAAAGGGTTATTACTTTAATCTGAGCAACACTTGAACGCTTTTCCCCTACGCAGCTCAGGGTTCTTGCTGTACCTGCACAGGCACGTCTTCTGCTCCCTGAGCTTGGCGCAGCACTCGCCGGACGGGGCCGCGCCCAGGATGAACGCCGGGACGCACGGGCGTAGCGCCAGCGGGTCGCACCTCGGCGTAGCCCGACACACCATCGTGCAGCAGGGAGCGACGGCGATTATGGCTACAAGGAGCAGAAGCTGCACCGCGTAAAGCTTCATGGCTCGTTGCGGGGCAGCCCTGGTTGTGTTGCTGCTATCGCGGCTGGAAAGCGAAGATTGGAATGGCTTGGGGCCAGAAGAGAGGGTGGTAGTGGTAGGGGTATATGAATGAGTCTGTCTATCGGACAATCGTGTGTTTAAGCAGAAGCCAGTACACGGTTGTTGGCTGAAAGTAAAACACGATTTCCAACAGAGATAAATCTGTGTGTTTTAGCACAATTCAGCACTCGGTTGTTTGCTGGCCCTAGAGCACTCGATTTCATTCAGAGACAAATCCGCGTGTGTTTAGGTACCTGTAGCACATGAATTGTTCCACCTTTAGATGTAAATCCAACGGCTGTTCTGTAGCAACAAAAGAAGGCCCATGCAGAGTAGATCTAGATGCAATTTCTGTGCAGTTGAGAGTAAAATAGTAGAGCCCAACAACTACGGAGCTCATAATGAAAGCCCAAAAGCAGAAATCGATAGGAATATATCAGATATACTTAGGAAAGAAGAAAACAAAGAAAATAGATCTGCTCTGCGTGGAAAAGGCTCTGCTCTGCTCACGCGGAGCAGGGGAAAGGGGCAGAAATATGATTGCAAACAAGAATAACAGGAAATTTGAAGAACAAGCACTGCAAGTTTGATTCATACCTCATCAGCCAAGGTTAGTAGAACAATCTTTTGAATCTAATTTTCTGGTATTTCAATTTCTCTGAAGAAGCAAAAACAAAGAAATTAGTAGATCAGATGACAAAGACTAGGAGAACCTAGATCCATGAAATATGTAATCATGAGACCTTACATATTTAGGATGCCTAAGATGGCCTGCTGCTTGTGCTTGCTCCAACAGCAGGGTGTGGCCCTAGTTGCTAACTTTGCATAAGGAGCAGATCCAGCACTTGGGGGTTGTAATTGTAGTCTAAAGGCTACAAACAAGCCTATTTTAGATCCTGCTAATTTCCTGCATTGCATGATACAACAGAGAGCATGAGATAAGAGCAGCGTGTATCAGCAATCTAACTATTTTAGATGCTGCTAGCTTTTGCAATTAGAGCACCCAACTATTTCAGATCCTACTAGCTTTTGCAGAATCTTAGATGCAAATTAAGTGTAATGCATTATATTGATGAAATTACAAAACACAAATATGAAAATTACATATTTCAAATAGTACAAATAGTATATGTTCTTAATGCAATTAAACTATAAATGTATATCAATACATATACAGTATGGTGGAGCTCATGAATGTGTAAATAGAGATAATGACAAACTGCTCAACAGCCACACAAGCATGACCAAAAACCTTGATGACACATACCTGCACATAATTGATGCTCCAACTATTGCTTAGTTGTCTGCATCACCAACACTATTTTACAATAATATGAGTATGTAAATATCAGAACCAAGATTTCAACATAATAAGAGTACAGATTCAAGTAGGATACTAAAACTGCATACTGATTCTTTATGATGCTCTAACTTTCTCCTAATGACATATCATTTATTTCTAAATGCAGGTATACAATAGGGCAAAATTGAGACTACAGTAGGAAGTAGTACAGATCACTTAAACTATGGATGAGCATAACTTGCAGGTAATATAAATGTCAATAATTAAGTTTTAGTTTATGAAAATCTATTTTACATAGACTTACTAGAATACAAGTGAATCCTTCTAAATTTAGCATTATTAATTGTAAGTCATCTATTGCAGGTGCCATATACTTATACACATGCAAGTGAAAACTCAGAGCCAAACTTTGATCTCACAACAGCAGATGGGATAAAAAAGTGGTAAGAATCACTAGAATTGATGTACTAGACTAGCCAGGTACTAGATTAATTCAAATAATCATTTAATCAGTGCAACTAGACATATGTCAAGAAGTATATATGTTCAAATAAATGCAGGGCGGAAAGAATGCATTTGCAAATTCTATGTTGAAAAATCTATCAGACATCAGTTATAATGACAGAGATGAGTATAGTAGAAACACCAATTATGATGTAGAAAGACTTACTGGATCTGATGTCGACCTTTCAAATACCTACAGATACAAAAAGATGAGCAAATCATTGCTTAGTTTCAAAAATACCAAGATAAAAAGGTTGTTTGTCAATTAAAATATATTTCAATGCAGGGAGGCTTCACTGAACTTATGATGGAACAGATCAGGAACTCTTAGGAAGATAATCAGACTGACTGGAATACACAGGTAAAATTTATAATACCAGTATACAAAAATTACAATTCAGACATATACAAATTACACACATATGTGCAATGTAAATTCAGCATAATAGGACTGTAATTTCAATGCTTCATTATAAACTGTGCAGCAACATGAAGAGATGCAAGGATCATTAACAAAGATGATACTTGGAAATGACAGGAATGAGGTAAAACTATATTATATATGCTTATCAAACTAGTTGTGTTATATTCAATGTTTTTCTAAACGCTAAACGGTAAACAGTTGGTCACCTACTGTTTAGCGATTATTCGGGCTAAACAGTCCATTAAACGGGCTAAACGACCAATTAAACAAGCTAAACGGATGATTAAACGGAAACGACGTACCACCATGTAGCGTTTACATGGTATTTAAACGGGCTAAATGGCCGTTTAGGCGAACAATGGTTATATTATAAACGGTAACCATTCTCATTATCAAACAAATAAAACAGAATATGAGCCTTGAAAATCTGGATGGAATCTTTGGACCACAAACTGACCGGTCAATATCAGAGTCAAGGTTGTCATATGAGGTAGATACAAACAACTAAGCCAATTTGATTACATTTATAAGCAATACAAATATGTTCTGGCATCAAAGTAAAACTTATCTTTACAAAAATAGTATGGAGAAATGGTAATCGTCGCTGATGATGATGGAGCAATGACAAGCATAGTTAATGATGATAGATCTAAAATTCAACAATACCCTTGGCAAACTGATGTATTCGATAACATGGACATTGATGAGGTACATAAAAAATGATCTCTTCAACTATTTCGGTCCACACTAGAAAAAAAATTATTTGTATTATAAATGACATTACTCAGAAACTAAGACTGCTGCTAATATATTTACAGATGCAGCATGAAAATCAAGACGATCAACCAACAATGGGAGAAAATGACTTGAGGATCATAGAAACAGAACCAACAAGTTCAGATATTACATCAGCTATAACAGATGATAATGAACATGTAAATGGCAGCCAGGAACTGACGGAGGAAGAGATTGAGCAATTCATAAAAAATGAGTAGGTTGCAGCATCTGAAGGCAACAATGCATGAATCAACAGCAAGTACACCCCATAACTATCGATGGAATTTAAGACTAGGCATGATGCTCACCATTTCTTCAACTTCTATACGTTCCTAGCTGGATTTCAAGTTGCCATAACACATATGACAATAACTCAAAGTAAGAAGAGAAATAATGAGGTAGTCAAAGTGACAATGAGATGTAATCGTTAAGGAAAACAAAAGGAACAAAAGTCTTTAGAGCAAGAAGAAGCTGAAGTAGACAAGGATGTTGGAAAGAAACCGATAACGAGAAGGAAAACAAATGTTCAGCAGAAGTCAGATTGTCCTTGTGTTATGATGGTGAAAGAAGAAGAAGTTGTATGGAAGATTAAAACTCTTGATTTGGATCATAGACAGGGATCAGCTATTTTCTGGTCACAAGTATATGACAGAAATGGAAAAAGGACTTATCATAACTCTGAACGATAACAATATCCCGACTAGGAAGATGGTTTCTATTCTATCATATCTGAGAGGGGGGCTTACAGCTCTACCGATGAAAAAGAAAGATATCAGCAACTATAGGACAAAGCTGAACAGAGAAGTTAAAGGATCAGATATGACACAAGTACTAGATTATTTTAGAAAGAAACAAACTGAGGATCCGTCTTTCTTTTACAAGTTTGATTTAGATGAGGACAAGAGAGTGAGAAACTTGTTTTGAATAGACTGTTCTTCTATGAAATATTATGCAGATTATGGAGAATGTGTAAGTTTTGACACGACATATATGACCAACCGATACAACTTACCTTTTGCACCATTTGTTGGAATCACAGGACATGGGCAAAGTTGCCTTTTTGGATGTGCTTTCCTGCATGATGAGATAGTGGACACTTTTAAGTGGTTATTTCAAACTTTCCTTGAAGCAATGGGAGAAAAACACCCTCAAACGATCATCACAGACCAAGACATGGCGATGAAATCAGCAATAGAGCAAGTCTTCATAAACACAAAGCACAGAAATTGCTTGTTCCACATAAAGACCAAATGCTACAATAATAATGTCAAGGTGTTTGCAGCAAACGAAGGACTATATGAAGACTTCAAAGATACAGTGAACAATAGTCTAACAGTGGAAGAATTTGAACGACTTTGGAAGAGAATGATTGAGGAAAGAAACCTTCAAGGGAATAACTACTTTTTCAAAATATGGGAAATGAGGAAAAGGTTTATCCCGGTCTACTACAAAAATGATTTCTTCCCTTTCATACAAACCACATCGAGGAGTGAGACAACAAATGCTAGGTTTAAAGATAATGTAGGACCAACCTATAGTATCATTAGCTTTCTGAAAGAGTACAATCGGATTGTTGATACCATAAATCGAGCAGAAAGGCTGGAGGACAGCTATAGCAAGCAAAAAAGGCTAAAGGAATTTATATTTGGTTACCGAATAGAGCAGCATGCACAACAGCTATACAACAGAAACATATTCAAAAAGTTCTAGCTACAACTGAAGGCAACATCAAGGCTGAACTACAGGGAAACCAAAGATAGGAAAACATTTGAGGTGTGGCAAAAAAGTAATCAGATTCAGGAGGTTCATAGGTTCAGGAGATATACAGTAAACACTGACCTAACAGAAGGCGAAGAAGAATTTACCTGCATATGTGCAAAATTCAGCAAATATGGGATACTCTGCTCTCATATCCTGAAAATAGTCATTGAAAAGGAAATCAGCA